AGTCAGGCGTGAAATGACCAAACGTCACTTTGACATATCACGTGATTGGCGATGAATACACTGGTTTGTTCGTTTAATTCTTAGACTTATTTTTAACATCCTCTAAGGTTTAATTGTATATTATTATAAGTAATTTTTATTTTATTTTTTTAAATATATTGACTGCGTTCTTTGTATTCTCTTATAATCTCTTTTTGGCTTGCTAAGCACTTTATATTTTGTTTCATGTTGGTGGAAATTCGTAAATGGCATTGGATTACTCATATTTAAGTATACTATAATTGTATTATTTGTCCGTGAATTTTCCTATAATGTGTAAATAAATAAATAAATAAAATTCAGGACAAATTGTTACTGATCAGTTACTTAGTATTGCACTGCGTGTCATCATACCAAATCAGCATGGTTTTTGCAAGCAACGTGGTGTGAATAGCAATACTTACTTTTATTGTAGTGATTCTTGAGGCAATGTACAATAATTTTCAAGTAGACATCATGTATACCAATTTCTCTAAAGCTTTTGATAAAATTTGCCACAACACGCTTTTGTTGAAACTGTGGCGGCTCTGTATTCACGGGGACTTATTACATTGGATAAAGTGTATGACTTTATGATCGGGAATCGTAGTCAGGCTGTTGTGTTGTCTGGACTTTGTTCAAAATACAGGAATATACCTTTAGGTGTACCGCAGGGTTCGCATTTGGGACCATTGTTGTTCGTGTTGTACGTCAATGACATTACAGAATCTATACAGCGTTCATGTGTTCTTCTATATGCTAATGACACTAAAATATTTAGGATAATTCGTAACGAAGAAGATGTTCACTTAATGCAACAAGATGTTAGAGCTTTCGAAAATTACTGTGCTCAAAATAGTTTATTTTTAAATCCTGATAAATGTTTTTTAATAACTTATACGAGAAAGAAAAATCCAAATCCAGTGCATACATACACATTACGTGGAAAAAAACCTTAATAGAGTAACGGAGATAAGAGATCTTGGTGTTATCATGGATATTAAACTAACGTTTATCCCACATATTGATAAGATGGTGTCTAGGTCTTTCAAACTATTAGGGTTTATATTAAGGGTTGGTAAACCCTTTAAGAGCCCTTTTACCTATAAGCTGCTTTTCAATAGTTACGTACGTAACAGACTCGAATTTGCAAGTTATGTATGGCATCCCTACCAAAATGTACACCAAAATAAAATAGAACGGATGCAGCGTAAATTCATCAAAGCACTGGACTATAGAATGCATCATAATCATGTAGACTACGAGTCATCCCTTAAGTTGTACAATATTGTTTCATTGCATATTCGTCGTTCTCTAATTGACCTAACGTATTTGTATAAAATGTTGCATAACACTGTAGACGCCCCGTATTTGTTGGAAAATATATTTATTCGTGTGCTGCAAAACAATGAAAGTGCAAATCGTAAAAAAGATCTTTTTGTTGATAAGTAAAACATGTTACGGTAGCAACAATTTCAAAAAAAGGACTTGTTCCTTATGCAATGCAAAATGTAGTGAAGTTGATACATTTGATTCAACTTTGCAGGAGTTTAAAAGTCACATAAGCAAATCAGACTTTAAAATGGCTTCGTATGTTCATCATTAATTGTTCAATCTTTCTTCGTTTTCTTTAAGTTCGTTATATGTACATATAGGGAATGAAACTATTTTTCCGGATTTAAGTCACGTATATTTGTTTTTTTTTTCAAACAAACCGACACAGTTGACCATAAATCCGGAAATATAGTTTCATTTCCTATATGTAACAATCGCGAAAACCTAACAATTTGCAATGCAATTATACATTTTTTTTTTTTTTTTATTACTTACATAATTATAGTATTATAGTATAATTATATAGTGGTTGGATTGTGGAATAGCGTAGTAAAAAAAAACAAACATGTTTTTAATTGAGCATTGCTCGTTTTTGCTTATACCTTTTACTTGTTCACTTATAAGTGCTACAGTAGTTACTCGTTCACTCATCCAAACGAAGTAACCAAGCGGCTTTTTTAAATATTGCCCCAACATGTGTGCAGTGTCCGGCAAAATGCATTATATACACAGAGCATTTTGCAAACGCGCCGCCCAATTATTAGAAATTTAGGTCAGTTACGGATCAAAAATCTTTTTTGTTTTTCGACATAAATCTTTAATTTTTTTTTGTACATAAGTAGTAGGAATTATGACGGTTGCAAACGCATATACATTTTTATTTAACTATCCGTAGTTGAGAGAAAAAAAATTTGCAAAATCTTAAATCTCTCCCTGGTAAATACTACTCAATATTTGTTTTTAAAATAATTTAAACGCTGTGTTACGATAATTCTTTATTCATAAAATAAATTAAATATGATTAAAATAGATTTTACTTCAAATAACATAAAATAAAAAAAATAAAAATGAGACGAAAAAAAAACATGAAATCATATTTGTTACTATTTCGGATATCTGTTTTATAGCCTCGCTCTTCTACCATGGCCTATTTATTATTGTATAATATCTTTTTCAGAATCAGTGACGAGTTGGTCCAATTTCAATAGACGTAGCGTCTCCTCGTCAAGTTTTCGATTTTTAACATAAGATTTTCGGTTACTAGTAATATATGGATAAGAAGTACAAAGTAACGTGTGAATTGCATCTTCATTTGCAGCAGATCTTGAGCACTTTCTTGCACGCAAGAACCACCACCGTGGTACACCACGTTGTAATCTAAATTTTTGAGATTCTTAAGCGCCTTCTGAAAGTTGTCCAATAGGTAACACTGCAAAATGGTTAATTATACCTTCTCTGTGAATCACCACATTTTTTGTGTACCGGAGATATAATACCAATCATATTTATTTATTTTTTTATTTTATATTATTTATTTATTTTGTAATAAGGTGGTGGTAAGAAACAGTTCCGTTCATCCATAATATTCTTCAAATGTAAATATTGAGCCCTGGTCAGATCCAATTCAATAACTATACTTAATGCTTCTTGATCGCTCAGCGTTTGGATGGTATTAGAGTCGTCCATCAATTTTAGCACTTATATTTTTTTATCTGCATCTACAGACCTAAATACCTCCATGAGTTTTGCTTCATTACTTTCTTCGTTTGATCGCAATCTTTGAATATATGCACCAAAGAAATGTTCGAATCCATATTTATTATATAGTGTAGTATTTTTGCTCTTCTAACTAGATTCTGAAGAATTTTCGTAAGACATACTGGTATTCCTCGTTTTCCAGTTGAAGTAGATGGAGTGGAATCGATGGACGTTGACAAAGTAACAGAAAACTCTTGATCCAACCAATCACTGTTAACTCTCAAAAATGCTTCTTTCGTGATGCTTGGCTCCTTCGACTGTTAAATTGATTTTTTTTAAATCACCAATTGTCAAACGTAAATTGTCCTCCGAAACTTCATAACAATCTCAAAAAAATGTTTCTAGAGCCAATTCATTTCTTCCACCTTCAATGTAGCAAAGTATTAGTTCTCTTCTGAAACATGTGGAATAATTCATTTTCAAAGGAGTTGGAAAAGTAATTTAGTAACAAACGACTGCTTGTATTAATAAATTTATGAAATTAATATGTCAGAGCATTATATAGTAATGGCGTAGTGTAAATAATGTTTGATATTGATAAATAAGATTAATGCAACCGAATGTATATTCTCTTCTCTATCTTATCGCGTTGCATTGTTATGGGTATTTTTCTGCGGCAGGACATTTGTTACGATTTCTTTCATATTTTTAGAAACCACAAAAAACCTCAGCTGATTTTAATAAAATTTTGATAATGAATACCTACTCTATGAAATAATATAAATTCGAAGCTTCGGCAAGCTTCGCTAACAGTCACAACCCTTGATGAATTCGATAAAGATAGGTTAATGTCTCCTTTTTTAATTATGATTTATTTTGTTTACATTACACGGCAAATTTGAAAAATAACAACTTTTGACATTTACGTAAGATGTGCTTTATAAAAATATATTATAAAACATATCTAACAAAATCAATACGAAATACGACGTCGAAAATTATACGTCACAACGAGATGTGTACGGGAAAGGACATTTTGGATGTATTTTTATTAAGTCAACCTACCTATCTAACATAAAAAAACCTTCAGTATAATAAAGTATGACATCTAAACTGTCAAATAAAATTAAATGTGTATCTCAATTAAGACATTGGTCAAAACTTCTACTATATCCCATAGCGCGCCCTCGCAGGCGCCGGTGCCGCCACCCCGCGGCTCACGAACATCACACCGTTTTCATTTTCACAGCAAGGCATAAGATTAAATTATAAAAAGGCCGCTCGTGAAATGAATCCGCGCCGGTGCGTGACGCGAATCTGTAGGTAAAACCTAGTCGGACACTGCCATGACAGGGTTCCATAGATGTTTTGTACTTCGGATTAGTCACATTTAGTTCAATTTTTATTTCGTGCTTCATTTAACTTGTCCAAATTTAGAAAATTAAGAAAAATATTCAAATATTTAAACGAATTTTATCTAGTGTCCTGTATCTTTTACAATTTTAATTTATTTGAATACCTCCTAACTCTGTTGATACAGTTCTGGATTGGGATGTATCGGAACGTATATTCGGTATTTCAGAATAAAAGGGACGATGCCCTAAAGTCGACTTTGCAAGTAAATATCTCGAGGATGGAACGTTTAACGTACCTATTATATGGGTTCCACGACATTTTATTGCATTCTAAAAGACCCATGATTTTTATTTTTAATTCATCAACTGTCAAATTCTATAAATAATAATATAAACAAAGGTGGTATAAGGGCACTGACAGACAGACATGCGAACAACAGACGGAAATGCGGCTTTTCCGCGCGTATTATAAGCGTGGCTCTGCATACCGTCAATCAATTGACTTGATGGAGCTCGTAGGTAAATATCGATACCGATCGCTCCTGTTGTCGTCTTGTTCAGACAAGCAAAGTAATTATGCACCTTGTGTTACAGTGTTGTCATGCGGCGAGGCGATGGAGGCAGCCGGGGCGGGGGGCGCAGGGCGCGTACGCAAGCGCTACGTGGGGCTCTACACGGGTCCCTACTTCGATCCCTCCGCGCCTAACAACATCACGGCACAGCTCGGCACGCACGCTTATCTGCCTTGCAAGGTAGGTATATTTGTTTCATACGTGTAAGCTGTGTACGCCACTGGCCACGCAAGTTCTCACTTTTGTTGAGAGCGCGATTATCGGTGCAGGTGCGGCAGCTCAGCAACAAATCGGTATCGTGGATCCGCCGGCGCGACGCGCACATACTTACCGTCGACCGGTTCACCTTCATCGCCGATGAACGCTTCCAGGCCTTCCTTGTCGAGGCTACTGATACGTGGACGCTGCAGGTATATACATCCACGCTTCGACAATCCGATGAGTCTGCGACCACCACCGTAACGTGACGATACTGAGAGGAACGTCGCCTCGTTGCAGGTGAAGTACGTGCAGGCGCGCGACGCCGGCGTCTACGAGTGCCAGGTCGGCACTGAGCCCAAGATGAGCCACTTCGTACAGCTCAACGTCGTCGGTCAGTCGCCTTGTTTTACTAAAGTGGCCGACGAAGGTAGGAACGGCAAGTAATGTCTGTATATGCGTGTGTTGCAGTGCCAAAGATCGAAATCGTAGGCGAGTCGGACCTGTACGTGAAGGCGGGCAGTACGGTGAGCCTCAAGTGCGTAATCACACAGGCGCTCGAGGAGCCCGCCTATATCTTCTGGTACCACAACGACGAACGCGTTCTCAACTACGACCGCAGCCTCGTCGAGATCCGCATGGAGCGGCTCGCGCCCGATACCACGGTTAGTGTCGTCGAGTGTGTCGAGTGTTCTCATCGCGAATCACAATAAACACGTCGCGGCCTTTACTGACGGTTCGTCTTTGTAGGTCGGCAACTTGATTATCTACAACCCGCGCCGCGAAGACTCCGGCAACTACTCGTGTGCGCCTTCTAATCTGGACTCCGCCTCCGTCGTGCTGCACGTGCTCAGCGGTGGGTCAATGGCGCTGTACATAGTCGGTCTGTTCACATGTGGCTCGCTAAGAGCAGACGTATTTGACGCGAGATCGCACTTGGCAACTTCGCAGGCGAGCAGCCGGCAGCCATGCAGCACGGCAACGCGTGCGCTCGCCTCGCGGCGCGGCCGTGGCCGCTGCTGGCCGCGATGGCCGCCCTGCGCCCGCGGCGCGCGCTGCTGCTGCTGGCGCTGGCGCTGCTGGCCCCGTCAGTGTCCTGTCCCGGAAGCCCGGCCGCGGCTGTGCAAGGCTCTAACGGGCGCCTCTTCCGCAGACTGTGCTGCCACGACGAGGGAGAGCCTCACTAGCGTCCGTCGCCGCGCAGGGCGGGCGGCGGCGCGGCTTCCCCCCCGCCCCGCGCCCGCCCGCGCCTCTCCCAGTGCCGAGTGCAGTCGAGACTCGAGTGACGTCCACCGCTGTGCATTTGATGCCCGGCGGACTAAGTTTAAAACTACCTGTAAAAATTTCAAATATTATATTGATCGCATTACGAGCTCGGAGGACGGGCGCGCCGCCGGCGCCGTCGACGACGTGATACGACTCCGCCAACCGCGGACAAGAACGTCGCGAAGTTGTTCGTATCGGTATTAAAATTCATATAACCGGAGGCGACCTCTGTAAATACTAGGGGTGCGCGAGCGACGGGGCGGCGTACCGAGCGACAACGGCGCCGCCGGCCTCGCGCCCCTCTCTTTTGTAAAGTGTACATAACGTTACGATAAACATTACTATTAAATATAATGTTAGTGCCGCCGCGGGCCGCGCAGCCGTCGCGCGGCGGCCCCGGCCGCGGCCCGCGGCGGCCGCTCGGCACCACCGAGCGGCTACTTCTCTACAGCGACATCGAAATTGTTTAAATCGCGCGCGTCCCACGATATTGTCTCGACGTTCAGTTGAGTTTGTTACTTTCAGACCGGTACAAAGAATAAGGAATTGTGAATATTATATTTTTCTTAGGTTGGAAAGGACGACGACGCGGCGCGTAAGTGACGCGGGACAGATAGCAGTGCGTCTGCGCGTCACTTGCGCGCCACCGCCGCCGGCGCGGGCCCGCCTCTGGCCTCGGCCGCAGCAGACGACGGCCGCGAAAAAGAGCCTAATCTCTGACACGTTAAGAGCGTTGCGCGGCAGTGGCACTGCTAAACGTACAGTGGGCAAGAGCGCTGGCCCGCGCCGCGCGAGCGGTGCCGCGTACGTGAAAGTAAGTTTGATTCGTTGACACTGTTACTGCCTCACTTGTAAATAATATAAATGTAAGTAATACAAATAAACTGAGATCGTTGAAACATCTGCCGATTTCTTTCTCGTGTCCCTCCTAATCTCTCTTGAGCATTTTTGGTGGTTTTTGAAGTACTTACATACCTACAGGTAGGGTTATGTAGGTTAATGGATTGTTTTTCATTCAGTGTAAAGAAGTAGTCGGTCACTAATTGGTCGGTAACTGCCTCTGTGGCCGAACGGTTACCATGCCGGACTGCCACGCAGAGGTCCCAGGTTCGATTCCCGGGCCGGAAGAAATATTTGTATGGCCTACATTTCTTTCTCTCGTGAGTTTGGGTGTAATTTGTGGTTGTCTATGTGTGTCCATGGCACCCGCGACACAGGGTTTCCCTAGTGCGGGGCTATGTTGAGTGTGTGCGTTATTATTATTATTATTACTAATTAATTCGATGCGAAGCAAGCAGCAAGTACGAAACCTTTGATATGTACCTACCGCCTCTAATTTTTTATGCAAAATTCAAAGACCCGGCTTTAGTAGATAGATGATTCTTTTAGCAGCAATCTGTATAAGCGAGCGTGTGGCGATTCTGTCTGGTTTTTGTACTTTATTTTTATTTGTTGTGAATGGAGCGCCGCACTGTGATCCGATGGAGAACTATACAATCTTACGTTTATATAAAAGAACGGGCCTCCATAAATGTATACTCACTGAGCAAGCGAAAGTTGCTTGAACATAGCTCAATCAAACGTTTGGGAGGTTGCAACTTATCAATTCAAGGTTGCAATGTTATGGCGAGCTACGAGCGAGGTAACTGCAAAGCTCTAAACATTACAAAAATTTGATAAAATGTGTTTGGTGTAAGTGGCTGTAATGTTCTCACGACTTTTAATTTAAAAGTTATGTATGCAAGCTTGATCAACTTTCAGCTTTTCAGCTTTGGTAAGTTTCATGCTCAGTGGGTATTTAATTCCATTTTCAATATTTAATGTTTTTTCACGAACAACAAGGAGCCCTAACAGTTCCGTTCTCGTTGCGCGTCCGTTCTTTCTTTTGCACCGATGGAGAAGTAACAATCGATTTAGCAACTTAATAATTTAAACTTATTCGATTTTCACACATATTTTGGAATTTTTAACACCAAGCTAACTATCGTTTGTAATCCCTCTCTCCGGATCGCCGAGCGGATCGGTCGTGCTCAACATAGTTT